ACAATTTATAAGGCAATGTTAGATATTATTCTTATGAGTCTTACAGCGTACTCTGCATCGTCGCGTACTTAAACCGGAGACCTTCCGCATCATAGACAGACACCTTACCAGTTGGTCCATCGCACAACGTTTCCCGCGGCTTTTAAGTTTAAATGCCATGATAATTATACTTGAGCACAGTTCGAAACTCGAACAATCGCAAAAGCTTTTATCGGTAATAAAGTAACCACGGATGTTGACACTATTTATAGCCATTATACTTTATTATTTATGTTGTTATACTTTTGACACTTGTTTAGGATCAAATTTATCCGATATATTTGATCCTTGGTGTAGTGTTATTTTCACCCACACTTATCAATTTGATGATGGTTCGGGATAACAAAATAAAAAGTGAATAAAATAAAAAAATTTAATGATCATGAAACTGTCCTTATTTTGAGTTTAAGTGCACTTTATTTCTCTTATCAGTTAGTAGCCGCGCATACTGTAGTATTTCCTATTAAAATTCTGTACAATAGTTCGGAAATAAGCCCTGCAGACATCAATGGTGGTTTTAATAATTTGCCAAACTCGAAAAACTTTGCAAATGCCAGCGGTTACACTGAGATACTTTGGAGCGCAACAAATATTTAAAGCAAAAAAAAGTTTACATTTTTTAAACGCTCTACAGTAGTGTTATGCTTTAAAAAATTATTTGTAAAGTAGTAAATAAACAACCACATATTTTCGGATTTTCTTTTTTACCTCTTTTCTTTTAAATTTTTTAAACTGTTTTCCAAATTTCTAAATCCCACACAAATGATTTATCCCAAAGTAAGCAAGAGACAACGCTATAGTCGTGGGCTTCGACTATTAGATACCCGTTACTCAGCTTAAGGGAGTGCAAAGGGGATGAAGATATGCTTTAAGAAACTCTCCTTTTTCACTAACACCTAGCCTTTAGCGCCACCTATCGCAACCTATGTATCTTCTTCTATGGAGCCACTTAGCCTATAGCGCCAATTTTGATTGTTATTTGGTTATAACATCTTAAGGAATGGTCCAATTTCAATAATTTTTGGAATGTGGGTGAGTGTTGATAACACATCCAAAATTTTCCGCGAACCATTTTTAGTTTCCCATGTTAATGGTATCCTCTTGAGCCAAAGACCCATATATAGTTTTATCACCAACAGGTTCCGCGGTAAAGCTAAGAATACAAAAAACCGATGTTTGCTGAAATTTTGAATTATGTAGCCCATGTAACAGGACATATCTTAAATATTTTCGCTGAAACACTCTCTCAATACATGACTTCAATGGTAAAATAATGTCCCCATCTTGAACCATTACCATGCCTTTCAAAATTGACGACAAAGTTTAAAATCCATAATTTTTTTTACAATTTTACACTTTTTGATGGATAACCGACCATACAACATATAACTAAAATTGAAGTAAATTGATTTTCTTGAAATCTATTGCATGCTTTAATTTCGGTTTTATAAGTTTACTCTACAGCTGTGATATACACGGGTGTCCGATCTTTAGAGCTTTTAGCCTAACGCATCTGTTTGTCTATCGATTTCACCGCTTTTCTTCGTCTCGCCTGCTAACATCTTCATCTCAGTAATACTGGCGTTTGACGAAGTATTAAAATTACTGCAGCGAGACCTCTTTCTGATTTCCAACATGGAACTGTGGCTTATGGCAACATGCTACTGAATGGGACCTCGTGCGGGAGTGCGCTTACCCTTGTGAGCCATGTCCTCCAAGGTCGGAAGACGCTCTATCAATGTACCCGCTGACCAGGGAGGAACTACGGTGCCTATAGCCGTTGGAGTTGGTTGCAGAGTAAACATTATTGGACTTGTGTGGAATAACTCGGCGATCGCCGTTGGAATTGCGGTCGTAGAGGTCTCCTTAAACCGATATATTCTTCAACGTTTTACCGGTGCACTGCTAATCGTGATTGATTTGTGTATTGCCCATCCAAGCTTTTTCCGGTAGTTTACTGTTTTCTGCCGAACACACGCTGCGCGAGCCCTTGCAGGGCGAATCAAGCTTCAAAAGTGAATATGTACAGATGGTGACGGTGGAAATCGCGTCCTGTGGTGATCAAAAATCTATTGTTGATGGCGGCATGGGGACACGAGAGTCACGAACTCGAGAACTCAAATTAAACTGAGCAGCCGCCTTTGTTTTAGTTCACTTGTTCTTTTTTTGTACACCGTTTTGATTACACTCACATTAGTATTACATTTTCATGAGATGAAATACGCGATATTCCCGGAAGGACCGATAGCCCAGTACGTCGGCGGTTTCAGGCGATATGGGGATTACTTGGCATGGCTACAATCGCAAAAGCGACTCGAACAACGATTCTACACTTCCGACACGGCGGCAAAACTGCATTTACCTTTGGAGCGCGAGACGCTGTAATAGTGTCGCGACGTGCCTGCCCGATCCGTTGCAGAAACCGACTAGGCAGACCCTCGGCTGGCCAGCCAGCGCCCCCCTGCGCACAAAGCCGGGACTGCGGCACAGGAACCGCCTGTGATTGGCGGGCCGGCGCGGCTGACTCACTCACCACCATTTGCCACTGGGAAGCCCTGTGGTTGGCCGTTGGCTGAAGCACATCAGTCGTCCCACTCGCACCCGAGTGCGGCTAAGATGCGGAAGGAGAACGCGATTTGCGGCACGATGCAGTTCTGCAGCTGCGTTTCGGTATACGGAACAGAATCTTTAAGTTTAAGCAGACGAGGACCGCAGACGCACTAGGAACACATATCGGTACGGTTTTATTCTAAACCCCGTCTGTATGTGGAACCACCTTGGACTTAGCTCTCGACCAAGTGTTCTTTTAATACGTACTACCTTTATCTGGTTGTAAACGGTACAGCGGCGGCCCAGCCGCTGCACCGATTACGTCGCTCACAGCCTTATAGGCTTCCAGCCTCACAGCCGGCATTCACTTACACACATGTTGCACTTAATTCGAATTCGAATGTACGAATAAGGAAATAAGTCGACGGCCAACACAGGCGCCCAATAGAATTGTTTCATTCCGATACAATAAGCGCTTTACATTTCCTTTAACTACCCGCACGCTTCCGCTTTGGCAGTACAGGCGTACATATGTACATAGAGGCGGGGGCGTGGGTGTGGGCGTACGGTTGTTTAGCAAAATGTCGACAAGCCTAAACACGGTCACACCCACCAACTCCCCAGCTCCCCCCCCCAGCTCAAGAGCTCACTGTATCACCAGCTGGCCTCACATGTGGAGGCTGAGTTCCGAAGGGGCTGGTCCTGTCCTGCTTTCGCGCCGCAAAGCGTACGTGTTGCCACTGGCCCGAAAGGGACGGCAAGTGTGCTGGCTGAGAGGCGGATGTTTGCTTGTTTCAAAATGCCCAAGAGGAATATTAAAAAACTTACGCACACTAGAACGCGCAATTGCAGGGGATGATACCGATTTAAATGTAATGCACAAAATTTAAGAACAGTATTGCGCAAATATTTCTGTTCTCAATACAAATTGGCTTCTTTTTTAGTTTACTTACACAAAATTAGTTCATAAAAAATCGATTTTATATAAATCGCTAAGTATGCGTAAACCTAAAGTTATATTTTCAGTTACTTGTTAATTTTGAACCAAAAACCAAAAAGCATAAATTAAAAACTTGCTGTTTACCCCAGTTTTTCGTGGCCATCCATGCCATCCTCCAGAGCAAATCTGCTATTAGTATGTCAAATGGTATACCGTTTTTAAAATAATTTTTAAGGAAAGCTGAAATGAAAAACTGCGATATCCGTAGAGACTTATAAGAAAATAACATTTTAAATACATAACAATTTGTTTGGCTGCCTCGATGTTCGGGTGCTTTATTGTGTCTTTTATCGCAATATACTTAGATTTGTTCAGGAACTACAAACATTAAAAATAAGAGACAAAATGTAAGCCTTGTTATACCCATTAATCGTAGATTATAAGGGTTATTGCATTCGTTGGAAAGTATGTATCAGGTAGAAGGAAGCTTTTCCTACCCCTCAAAGTTGTCACATTTTTGATCAAGATCCCTTATGTCGTATGAACACAGAGACCTCGGAAACTAAAAAGGCTAGAAAGATTCTAGCAGAGTGCCGCGCGCACTCTAACGCCCATAACGCAATTAACTGTATGAAACCCCAGTTCTTAAGATTTTATTTCAGTGTAAGTTGAAATAGATTTCCATGATCAATACTGAAGTTCCCGTGGGAGCATTGTATATACAGAGCTTTCCGATTTTAAGAAAATTAAAATCTAATTACAGAAATCTTAAGGTAGTGTTCCATTTTAATTTATTAACGTATATGTTTACTTTAATTATGCGATTGTTCCAGTGTCAACAAAATGATAAGGTCATCCGACTATTAAAAAATTGTATTCGAAATTCTGAAATATTAAATGAATGATATTCTCAAGAGTAGATGTTAATATTTCAAAAAACACCAAAGTTTTAATTTGTTTTACACTTTTTAATAATATTTTTTGATCATTCCTATGGGAGCTATAGGTTGCATCCCGATAGCTATAAAACTGAGACACTATAGTCTCTATAGTAAACTATAGTTTGCTTAGAAACGGACAGACAGACGCACGGGCATGGCTTGATCACCTCGTCTAGTGATGCTGATTAAGAGTATATATACCTATATGGTCTGACTAAAATAATTATACCCTCTGCTATACCAATGCAACAACAACAGTTTATATTGGGCATTGTCTCTTTCGTATAGGCTGGGACAGTATTCACTATTAAATAGTACGTTTTAGCCGCAAAAGAAGGACTTTTGGAAAAGTTGTATCCCGATAGCCTTTAAACTGAGAAACTAGTGTGCTGACAAAGTGGATCATTCTTACTTTGTTATGCGCACGCAACGTGCAGAGTTACAGGTAAGACGAAGTCATTTTAATATCACTCGATTGCCAAACAGTCTTATTATAATCGAGATTTAATATGCGCAGATTAGATCATAAAGTGCCTGATGGCAGAGGAAACAACTGTTTTTATTAGGCCGAATGGCAGCACATGAAAGCAAATCCCGCGCAGGAAACTGAAGCAGCCTTGCAATCATCACATTATCTTCGCACTGCCGCTGAGTTTGGAGCGCAGCACAGGCAATCGCCACGTGGCACGTGCCAGCGACACGGCACATGCTCGTGCAGTGAAAAGTTTTTCCGCTTCGGCTTAGTCTGCTTCAGCTGCGGGCACAGACCGCCTCCAATCGTCGGACACATATTAATAAGAGGAATCATCTCAACAGTGGGATATACCCAGCAGTATATTGGCAGTGGATCTCTTCAGACGGGGACTGAGGTTTCGGAGCGGTATTGCTAGTTTCAAACTGTTCAGAAAAAACAGACGTAACGTCACTTTAATGATTCGATAAAATGGAGTGAGGTGGTATTATTACAGTTTGAAAACTAGATTGGGCGCGGATTTACGGGGGATACAGGGGAAAGATCCCCCCACTTGGGTTAAAAAGTATATGTAATATGTATTTAATTTTAAATTATTTGATTTATACCCAACAAATTTTTTTATGCGTTTTGATATTTACGATTTGCTTAGTTTTTGTACAGATTAGGAAAAAATACTCATCCTTTTACCACAAATAGTATGATATCCTCCTCAAAATGCATTTAAAATATGTAAAAAATAGGTTTTTATGACTTCAGCTGAGTTTAGCACTGAGAGACTAGTTTTCTTAAGACGGACATTGGTAAACAAAGTAGGAAAAAATTGTTTAAATAAATTTCGTACACTTATATTAAAAATTATTTGCATAAGGTTTTAATGTTTTCGCCACGCATCTCCAAGCTTTACTCTTTAAGCCTAACAATTATGGTGCAAGAAGACTGATAGCCCGCCACTCACCAAATAAACGACTTACCACTACTCCCACCACGCTTTTAGATCTAAGATGAAGAAAAAACTCCCTATTCCAGATGGCTATTACATGCAGCCATCGTGTGTGCGGCAACAGTTGCTTTTGTGCTGACATAAAAAAGCGTCGTTTTTCTTATCGCCTGTCCACAAGACTTCACACGGTCACGCAATTGTATTTTAGGGGCGGGGAACGAGAAAAGGGGCGTCTAGCTGCTATATCGCCAGGGCCCGTCCGGAATCCAGAAAGCACCAAGCAAGTAAGAAGAAAATATGTTATCAGGTTAAGATCCTTGAACTGAGTTTTAGTTCAAGAAAATGTATTCCCTTAACCGTTTGTAGGATGGTATTTCGGCATCACTCTGAATGGTTCGCTCACTTTAAAGCTTAAACGAAAACTTACCGATATCCTATGCGCGGAGCCTAGATGGGAATCCCCCACATTCTGCGTATGTCGTTTAGTAATCCTTGTACAGTTATTTAGAAATTTAACATTATCTAACAAATAAAGTCCCTGTTAAGGTAATTTGGGTTTCTTGCAAGGTTTACAGCTACTTTTAATTTCAGATGTCAAAATAATAATATTTATTCTCTAAAACATTCAGCACCTGTATTTACTCTTGACTGCAAAATATTTAAAAATCAGAAATTTTCTAAAAAAAATATGTTCTTCTTCTTCAAAATTCAAATAAAATAATATTCTATTTTATTTTGGACTAAAAACAATATCACAAATGCGGGTGCCAGACGGACTTTGTTTTAACAAACCGAGTTTCCCTCTGAATCTCTGACAACTGACTCTCTGGGTATTACCTAAACTTTTCAATGGTTGCTGTTTTTAGATGGCTGTTGAATTTTCAAGCAGCTGTGACCAAGGTTAAAATTTTTCGGTTTGCCGAAAATGATATACCCTGGCAGCTTAGGCCAAACCATGCAATTAAAATCATACGTATATAACAAAGACCGTACATTCGGAAAATTAGTATATTCATATACCGATAGTTCCATCGGTATCTGTATGTATGATACAATGGTCCTATTTTTACAGACAAATTTGGATTTTAAAATCTTAAAAAAAATGTTTACCCCACAGTAGAAAGGAATAGAGTATGCTAATAAACAGAGTAGAACGCTATAGTCGATGGCTTCGACTATCAGACACCATTTACTCAGTTAAGGGGAGTGCGAGGGAGATGGAGATATGCAGGCAGAAAACTGACCCAAGATTTCTCACAACGCGTAGCCTCGATTGCTTTGCTTATTACTATTTAATGAATAGTCAGATTTAACCAATTTAATATTTAAAAAAAATCGCATTTACAGTGTTACAAAATCTTCAAAAATGTGGGCGCTACATAGGTTTGTAGGCGCTAGATAGGTTCGTGGGCGAGTCCCGCGCTGCGCTGCGCAAGAATCTCTAGAATCCGCCTGCTCAATCCCAACTTTTCAGCTTTTATACAGACAGACAGACAGGCGGACATGGCTAGATCGACGCGGGTAGTGATCCTGATTAAGAATACATATCCTTTATAGGGTCGAAAACGCTTTCTTCTACCTGTTACATACCTTGAACTGAATTCAAAATACCATTTACATGACGAGTAACGGGTATAAACAGAGGTTTTAAACGCGGTATCGTAGCCGCAATTGCAAACGATTGTATTCCCTTTAAAATGTTCACACAAATGAATACAATTTCTGTTTGTTCCTCAGCTCTAAGATTTTGTATTGAACAACATTATCCGTCCTACCAGCGACCTCATCTGCAATGTGACATTGTCCCTGAGATATAATTTACAGAAAATTTGCTTAATCCGTAATAAAACGCTACAATTATCGCACTTGAAAATACCAGTTAGCACAGACGCACCATGAGTCCCCCACTGGGAATTCAAGTAACGAGCCATTAAACAATTAAAGCAGCGCCAGACTCAACTCGCCAAAAACCAAAGCTGAGAACCGTACCCGGACCGGCGATGACCAGCCAAGCATTTGGCCAGCCAACCAAATATAAACAAGGAAAATCCTTTGGAAAGGGCTAAAGGGGAATCCCTAGGAAGCCAGCTATGGATGTGGGTGCGGCATGGCCACAGGGGGTTCACATACGCCCTTTCTGGAAGAGGCAACCACTGTGAATATGCTTCAATTATTATGAGCATACCGTGACCGCGCCTCCCGCACCTCCCGCACCCGACCACTGACCGCCTACCACGCATTCCCCTTGCCCTCTGTTTGACGACTATCACTTAACAGGAGACCAAAAGCACTTCGCACGACAACACCCTACTGGTCGCAAAGTGTATGGAGCTCATACGCAATTAAAGGAAACCATGCTGTGCTTAAAGGATTGAAGCCGGCCTTCTTATTCCTATTTGACAAAATTAAAAATGTGCCACCGAAGTAATTAATATCTATCTTTATTGAATTTAACCGTGCTCGTTTACATTTTTTATGTGTTTTCCAAACGGCCTTCGACAAAGCACACACTGTATGATATTGCAAATCTACCGATCCAATGTATGTGTAATACAGCGGGTATTGGCAGCGCGGCGGCAGAGAAAATGTTTACCCCATGGGTGGCTCCCGCTGCTTCTGATGGGAACGGGGTAAGAACAGTAAAGCATAGTTAGTGGCTTTTGTAGTGGTTTTTGTTGAAAGGTATGTATCAAGGTATGGAACCGTTTCCGATCCCTTTAAGGAACATATATTATACTATATATCTTCATAATTATGTATAATCGTTACTCGTAGAGTAAAAGCGTACATTGTATTCGGGGAAAAAAGAGAACAATACGGAACGAACCCCGTTTGACATTGTCTCCTCAATATATAAATATATAAACTTCCCGTGAGAGCATTGTACATATGTACAGAGCTTTCCGATTTTTAGAAAACTAAAAACTCATCAAAATAAAAACTCATAAGTTTACAACTATTTATGTTTACCCAAAACGAAATATAACGATCTTTGTATTATTTTGACATTAATTATCCGATCGTTTCCATGGCAGATATATGATAAAGCCATCCGATTATTTAAAAATCTTATTCGGAATTCTGAAATATAGTTGTCCGATCCGGCTCGTTCCGACTTATATACAGCCTTCAATAGAAATAAGACTTTGGGGAGGTCCTACCCCAATAGCTCTGGATCTGACAGACTAGTTTGCACAGAAGCGGAAAGACGGACAGACAGATGGACGGACACCTAGCCTATATGGACAACTAGCCTATAGCGCCCCTAGCGGCTCCGTGGCGAATTAGTGAAAACAGCTGTTTCGCTGCATGTGGTAAGCAATCTCGATTAAATTGCAAAATATTTATAATTATAATAACTGTTTACTGACTGGTCCGGTTTAAAACACTTTTGGCATGTAGATGTGCCAATTTTAGTAAGTGTATTTATTTAGTCGATTGTATAATCATTTTTTTCACAAAATTTGATATCTGTAGTTTTGTGTGTTGAAGGTGCAAACGTCACGATCCGTTACCTCGTTAGGAGGTGGTTTTGATTGATATCAAATTTTTTTTTTTTTTAATTAACCACTTTCCCAAAAGTCGTGAAACTAAAGTTTATTATATCAAACGACTCCATTACGCTAAAAAGAGTTCGGGTCCGCATATACAAAAATCAATGTTGAGGCTCAGTTGTTTTGAGCTGGTAAAAGTAGCCATTTTTGTTGACCAATAACTTTCTATCGTGACTTTTTACAACATTGTGTTATACTTCAAAAGTTAAGGAATCCTAAGGGCTAATTAAACCAGAAATCCTTAGGGCCGTTTCTGAGAAATGTTAAAAAAAACATAAAAAATAAAAATAACAAGGAAGAACGCTATAGTCGAGTACCTCGACTATCAGATACCCGTTACTCAGCTAAATGGAGATATGCAAGCAGCAAAGCGAGATTAAAATGCGCCACCTACCGGCGGTATACAGATTTAAGCGTTATGGGCGTTAGAGTGGGTGTGGCAAATTTTTTTTTGAATCAATCGATAGGTATTGACGAGACCAATACATTTCAGTTAAAATTTTTACTCTAGCACTAAAACTGTAGGAGCCACAGTTTTGGGCGGTTTGTGGGCGTTAGAGTGGGCGTGGCACTGTACTGAAACAAACTTGCGCTGCGTAAGAAGCTCAGGAATCTGCTCGCCAAATCTCAATAGCCTAGCTCTCATAGTTTCCGAGATCTCAGCGTTCATCCGGACAGACAGACGGACAGACGGACAGACGGACAGACGGACATGGCTAGATCGACTCGGCTAGTGATCCTGATCAAGAATATATATACTTTGTGGGGTCGGAAACGCTTCCTTCTGCCTGTTACATACTTTCCGACGAATCTAGTATACCCTTTTACTCTACGAGTAACGGGTATAAAAAGGAAGAACGCTATAGTCGAGTACCTCGACTATCAGATACCCGTTACTCAGCTAAAGGGACCAAAGGGAAATGGAGACATGCAAGCAGCAAAGCGAGAGACCTACCGGCGGTAGACAGATTTAAGCGTTGTGGGCGTTAGAGTAGGCGTGGCAAATTATTTTTTGGATCAATCGATTGGTATTGACGAGACCAATACATTTCAGTTAAAATTTTGTATCTAGCATGAAAATTGTGGGCATCACAGGTTTGGGCGGTTTGTGGGTGTTAAAGTGGGCGTGGCAAACTTTTTTTGGGGTTAATCGATAGGTATTGATGAGGACAATACATTTCAGTTAACATTTTTATTCTAGCATTAAAACTGTAGGAGCCACAGCTATGGGCGGTTTGTGGGCGTTAGAGTGGGAGTGGCACATTGCTGAAACAAACTTGCGCTGCGTAAGAAGCTCAGGAATCTGCACGCCAAATCTCAATAGCCTCCTATGGTTTCCAAGATCTCGGCGTTCATCCGGACGGACGGACAGACGGACATGGCTAGATCGACTCTCTAGTGATCCTGATATTCTTAATACATATTTTTTATGGGGTCGGAAACGATTCCTTCTGCCTGTTACATATTTTTCGACGAATCTAGTATACCTTTTACTCTACGAGTAACGGGTATAAAGATTTTATACAATATGATTTAACTAGAGGTGGTGATCAATCGAAAGTGGGACCATCGAAGGTTTTCGATGGTTTTAGAAAAATAATCGAATACTATCAATGGCTTAAAAAAACCCCAAAAAACTTATATTTGGTGATCAAATTTTGTATATATTAAAGTTCTTATCAATAAATAGCAATTGGTCTAAATTTTTTTACTGGGACCTATAGACATTCCTTTGCAATGGCCTTAAGGGCTAGAAAATCATCATTGCTCATCTAAAAGTGACCATTCAATGCTTTCATCCTCGTTTTTTTGATCAAATTACTGTCGCATTAGAATTAAAAAAAGATCGACAGTGAGAAAAAACAATTGATTTCTCCAGCTCTAACTTAAACTGTGGTATTTAGACAGATCACGTGGGGAGAGCGGACAAACCATTTCAAAAACCTTTTGAAAGATGTACACTCAGAAAAAAAATCAAGTATTTCGTGCTTGAACCTAGTATTTTCGGTGTCAAAACTTCGCCAAGCATGGAAAATACAGAACGCGAGAACAGAATACTACTTTCGAGCACGAATTTTCAAGACCCAAAATTCTAGATTTAAGAACCTTTCGGTCTTGAATCTAGTATGAATAATTCTCAAATCAA